ATCCGCCAATTTCTGAAGATAGCATTCACAGTAAAATCTGAGAACAATCCCACAGATTTTACCCACGAAATCACCTTTATCATGATCCCTTCTATCAGCACTTCCTTGCATCTTTTCTTTTCTTCAAAGATTCTCAGATTTCTTTCCTCCCATATCACCCAAAACACTGCTGCCCGAGTGCATCTCCATAGCATTCTACCTCTTTTTGGCCATCTGAAAGTGGAGTATTCAAATAGCCTTTCCAAACTCATTGGGGTATACCACCTACATCTAAAGAGAGAGAAAAACCAGTTCCAAATACAGCTAGCAACAGCACAGGAGACAAAAATATGAAAAGCAGTTTTGCCACTTGACTCGCACAAACAACATCAATTAGGAGAAAGGCACCAGCCAGACCTCTTCCTCAGCATCAGATCACAGGTATTAATTGCACCATGGTAGACCTCCCAACAAAAAAGCACTCACTTATAGGGGAATGGGGTGACACCAAACTTCATGGACTGGAAACAGTACCCCAGGTTGAGCAGAAGTGGACAAGGTTTTGAAGAAGGAAGCACAACTGAAGGCTCCGGAGGGGTGAGGGGTCCAAAGCCTAGTATCTTGTTTGAAGGTATCAAGAAACACCCCATCTAGCAGCTGAAGGAGAGAGGACACCAAACCCATCTCAGAATCTCTCACATTTCTACGAAACCCCAAATTCCAAGCAAAACCAGACTGGGAGGGAGAAGGGATTAAGAAATCAGCAACCGATTTGTTCTTAAGAGAGGAAAGGGCATAAACTGAGGGGAACAGTGTCTTCAAAGGAAAGTTACCCACCCACACATCTTTCCAAAAGTTAATTTTGTTACCTGAATTGAGATCAAACCTGACATGGAGCAGCAGTGGAAGGAGTTTGTGAATTGCTTTCCATGGTTATGCGCTAGAAGCTCTACAAGATACTCCAACATCCCAACCATTCTCTGAGAGCCCATGTATGCTAGCCACAACCTATCCGTCTCGCAAGGGAATCTCCATAACCATTTTCCTAGTAAAGCCTTATTTCTTCCCTTCATTCTCCCTAATCCCAAGCCTCCAAACTCCCTCCTATTCACTAGTTCCCATTTTACTAAATGATCTTTCTTCTTATCACCCGGTTCCCACAAGAAGTCCCTCATTACCCTCTCCAACTTCTTTCCAAGAGCTTGAGGCATGCAATACACCGAGAGGTAATACACCGGAAGATTTGCTAAGGTTGACTTAATGAGAGTAATACGATCCCCCAAAGAAATGTAGTTCCTCTTCCACACCACCAACTTCCTTTCAAACCTTTCCACAACTAGGTTCCAAAACTCTAGATTTCTAGGATTTGCCCCAAGGGGAAGACCTAGATACCTCAGCGGCCAGTCACTCCGTAAACAGCCTAGCTCCCCAACTCACAAGTTAATCTCCTCTTGAGCTAACTTGATCCCCACCACCACACTTTTATTGAGGTTCATCTTTAGATTTGTCACTTTTTCAAATAGATTCACTAGCATCTTTAAGTTTCTTGCATCTAACTCGCCTCCACTCTCACAAAAGATAATGATGTCATCCGCAAATTGTAGGTGAGTTACCACCACTCTCTCCCATCCTATTATCCACCCTTTTAAAAGACCCCTCTCATCCGCCCTCGAAATCAGTCTACCAAGCACCTCTACTAGAATTGTGAAAAGGAAGGGAGAAAGTGGATCCCCTTGTCTCACTCCTCTTTGGGCCACAAAGAAATCCTTGACTACACCATTTACTAGAATTGAGAAGTGGCAGAATTTTAGACAACCCTTAATCCATTTGCACCATCTTACTCCAAATCCGCACTTTCTCAATGCCTCAATCAGGAACTCCCAACCCACAAAATCATAGGCTTTTTCTAGATCCAACTTGCACACAATGCCCTTCTTATCCATTTTCTTGAAATCCTCCACATAGTCATTAGCAATGAGTATTTGGTTTGAAATTTGTCTATCTTGGATGAAAGCCCCTTGGAATTGAGAGATCATTGACGGGAGGGCGTTTTTTAACCAAAGAGAGAGAACCTTGGCTATGATTTTGTACTAACTTGTTACCAAGCTAATTGGACTGAAATCCTTGGGATGGCAAGCACCAGACTTCTTTGGGATCAATGCGATAAAAGTAGCATTTACCCCTTGCTAACATCCCTCTATGATAAAATTCCTCAAAGACACGCATAAGATCACCCTTAATCCACTCCCAACAGTCCTGGTAGAAAGCCATAGAGAATCCATTAGGCCCTGGTAGAAAGCCATAGAGAATCCTTGGGATGGCAAGCACCAGACTTCTTTTTCCAAGTACCTACCTATGTACCTTCTAAAACTGGCCAGTCTAATCCTTCTAACTTCCATCTTCCTAATAGAGGCCTTCTGAAAATCAATTTAAAATGATCCACCAAGGCCTTTACAATTTCATCTTGATTAATTAATGTGCCATCTTCCAATTCTAATAGAGAGATCAGATTCTTCCTTTTCCTTCCATTCGCAATCATGTGAAAGTACTTTGTGTTCCCATCCCCTTCTTTGATGCAACGCACTCTTGATTTCTGCTTCCACATCATTTTGTCTCTTAGGAGTGTAGTTTCTAACTCTCTTCTCAAATTAAATCTCTCTTCCTTATCCCTTGCTTCCACCAACCCTAATTCCTCCTTTTTATTTATTTCTTCAAATCTACTTATCAAAATTATCTTCCTCTCTTCTAATCTCCCAAACTTATTAAGATCCACTCCTTGATTTTCTCTTTTAGGTTCCGAAGCTTCCTATGGAATCTAAGTCCTTCCCACTCAACCTGAGGATCATCTTCCTCCCACCACTTCTTGATTTTTTGCACAAACTCCGAGACCGTAAGCCACATGTTCTCGAATCTAAAGGGCTTTTGTCCCTTGTCCGAGACATGTCGACCAGTGATCCAAGGTGATCATGGGTAACATTCTACCTACCAAATCAATCCAATGCTCCTAGTCTTGAGAAACAAGAAATCTATCCAACTTTGAGCATAACGGATTCTCTTGGCAATTATTCCAAGTGTACCTATTTTGTCCAGTTTCAATTTCCTTCAACTCAAAAGTTTCTATAAAATTATTTAATCTCCTCATACCGGTAGTCACCCATTGCCTTGGATTATTTGATTCAGCAACATGTCTTATCACATTAAAATCACCCCCCAAGAACCACAGGCCTTGCCATAGTCCTCTCACATCTGCCAATTCTTCCTGCATCTCATTCCTTTCCCTGTACGAGTTAGGCCCATATACATTTTTAGCACCCAACTAAAATTGTCACTTACACTTCGTAGTTTCACAGACACTAAGAATCTTCCTATTAAATCCTCCACACATTCCACGATCTCCTCGTTCCATAGAGTAACTATCCCTCTTGAAGCACCACAAGATAGAGCCATGGCCCATCCAATACCTCTACCTCCCCAAACAATTCTTACCCACCTCCTATCAATGTTTTGTGCCTTTCATTCTTGTAACAGCACCACATCTGGCTTTTCTCTCCTTGATACTTCCTTTATGAGCCTTCTTTTTGCTGCTCTCCCTAATCCTCTTACATTCCAACTTACAATCTTCATTACAACACCACACCGCTTAGCCCCTACCTTACCTTTTGTACTTTCTACCTTTCCTTCCACTCTTCTCCCCTTCCTTCACCCTCTTTCCCCACCCATCTCTGAGTTTTTCTACCTCCCTGCCCTTAATACTTCCTTTATGAGCCTTCTTTTTGCTGCTCTCCCTAATCCTCTTACATTCCAACTTACAATCTTCATTACAACACCACACCGCTTAGCCCCTACCTTACCTTTTGTACTTTCTACCTTTCCTTCCGCTCTTCTCCCCTTCCTTCACCCTCTTTCCCCACCCATCTCTGAGTTTTTCTACCTCCCTGCCCTTCCTCTTACATACTCTTCCCCCGCCAACCTCATTCTTCTTTTGAGTCTTTCCAAACCCAGCTTGGATATTTTTAAGCCCATCCTCTCTGCCCATTTCGACAACGGAACTTCATCATCAGATTCACCCTCCTTTGGACTTGACACCTCTACCTCATTTGCTCCACCTGCTTCTGCCCTCTTTCCCCAATAGATTCTTTATTTTCCCCTGAAATACCATTCTCTTCTACCCCCCCCCCTAAAGCTACACTTCCTGCCTCTCCATCCTGGGTACCTTCACCAACCTTGGGCTCTCTTTGACAATGGCTTCCTGCTGTAGCATATGCAGAGACATCACTAGCATCATTAGTAACCAAAAGTGAATTCACACAGTTACCTTGGTTACCTTGTAAACCTGGGGAGGAAGTAGGACTTGGTATTTTCTCACCAATAAATTTTATTAACTAGATCTATATCCAATACTGTTAATAGTATAAAGCCCATATTTTTTAATATTTTTTATCAAAAGTAAGTTCCATTACTTGATCTATATCCAATACTTGAAAAATAAGTGTGATAAACAATAATTAATGAAAATGAAATACAAAATTTAAAACTGACCCAAAAATGAAATTGTTTTCCTATTTGGTGATGGGTCAACAGTTCAACCTTTTGGATCAAATGTGTCAACCCTTGATGCTATAATTAAATAATAAAAATTAAAAAAAAAAAGAGAGATAAAATACAAAAAGCAAAACAAAGTAAATAACTTTTGTCATAAACATTTGGGCACATCTCTAATATTATATATTCAACAATTATCAAAAAAAATATATATTCATCATATTAAACAAAAATAAGTGTGATAATTGATGAATATCAATTATCAAAAAAAAGTATCAAAAAATTTATTTTCATACACAGAAATACTATCACCATCATCACGTGCACATTTGCTAGTTCTAAGGGGAGTCAGAAGTGTGGCAATTAGCAAGGGAATTGAAAGATCAATTCTGTGTACTGCAGGGCTGCCTAGGGACTGCTGTGTATTGCAGCATTTTACATATCCATATTTTTTAGTTATCATAAAAGAACTACCATACCAAGTAGGTACTAAAAGCAGTTTCCATGCAATACTCTGCATCTTTTCTTGATTGATCCAGCATAAAGTAGGCAAGACCCATCATTTCCTGCAAACCAGAATGATACAAATCAAGAATATTGTATTTGTTTGTAGGAAAATTTCAACACAGATCTGCAGAAGCATCATTTTAACAGTAAAAGCTAGTCTCATTGTTCATAGCAGTAATAAGCAAGTAAACTTTAAAAACAAAAAAAAAAAAAGTCATTAAAGCAATGTTCTTGTAGGTCGTTTTAGGCAACACATCAGAAAATCTGCCAATCATGACAAGTAAAAAGCAAGATTACAACATTTTGAAACAAACTTATACAAGTGAGGCTCATTTTAGGCAATAATGAAGCATGCAGTTGCCTAGGTGACAGAATTGTACCAAGAAAAAAACCTAAATTCTAGGTTAGTTGTCTAATTTTATATATCAATCAGCATGAATATAAATTGAGCAAATAACAACGTGCTTTACTCATAACATTAGCACTTAAATCATTTCTTACTACTTCAACCACCTCTTTTTGGTCTGGCCCTAGCCCTTCTAGCCCCTTCAACTTGTAACTGATAGCTTCTTTTTATGGGTGCTGTAGATGGTCTTCTATGAATGTGACTAAACCATCTTAGCCTACTTTCTCTCTGTTTTTTTTTTTTGATCAATAATAGTAAATTTTATTAAGACTATTAAACTTTAATTACAAGAGAGGGGGGACGTAAACTGTCTTAACTCCCCCACCAGAAAATTACAAAGGAAACAAGATTAGAAATGAGCCCAAAACAAAGAATCCCTATTCACCCCTTGCTTGGCTAACCCATCGGCAAGTGAGTTAGCAGTTCTCTTTACCCAACTGTATTTCACCTCAATGTCCCCAGTCAGCCATTTAATTTTTTTCCTTTCATTGCTGTAATTCCACAAACCAGTGGTGTCTTCCTTTAGCCATCTCACCACCACCTCCAAGTCACCTTCAAGAACCAACCTTTTGATGTTCAACCCTCTTGCTCTTTGGGCACCTTCCAAAGCCGCAAAGATCTCAGCCCTAAGAGAGTCTCCTCCCCCAATAGGGCCTGAGAACATGGCTAGAATAAGCCCTTCCTCGTTCCTGAACACTCCTCCTATACCAGATAGCCTTGGGTTTCTTAAGCTACTGCCATCAAAATTCAGTTTTATGAAACCAGAGGGGGGAGAGGTCCAAGAGTGACTAGGAACCCTTTTAGCCTGGACAGAGTTAGCTATCTCTTTCCAATTTCTCCGCAAGTCATTCATGGAGAAATCTATGAATAGGTCTAGGGATTTCAACCAATGTGACACCCTTAAGTGTATCAATTCTATTAAATTCTCAATGGTTCTCTCCTTTTCTGAAAATTCATGAGTTCCTTTCTTCCCATAAAGACCAACAAACTGCTGCCCTGATACATCTCCACATAACCCTTCCACTTTTCATTGGCCAGCTAAAGTAAGGAGAGAATAGGAATAGGCTTTACACATTCAGAGGGGGGGGTCCAACTACACCCAAAAGGGGAGAATACCCACTCCCAAATAGTTCTAGCAAACAAGCAAGAAATCAATAGGTGGTAACCAGTTTCCCCATCAACTTTACAGAGATTACACCTATGCGGGGATAAACAAGAATTGGGTCTCTTTCTTTGAAGCAGGTCGCTTATGTTAATTCTTTCCAGGAATGTCTCCCAACAAAGACTACCAACCCGAGGAGGAATGAGCTTGCTCCAAACCTCTTTAACAGGGAAAGACAGACCACTAAAAGCAGGAAGCTGAGATAAGGTTTCAAAGAAAGAGGCACAAGAGAAGGTACCAGAGGAGGATGGGGTCAAAAATCCAATGTCTTCCTTAGTGGGATCCAAGAAAACATTTTCAAGAATGGTTAACAAATTCAAAGTACATCCGAGATTTGTGTCCCTAACAGCCCTTCTCAGGCCCAAGTTCCACCCAAACCCAAAAGATGAGTCTAAAGGCACAAGGAAAGAAGAGATGGATTCATTCTTCATCAAGGGGGAATCCCCAACCCAAGCTTACTCCCCAAAACTTTATAAGGTTACCTGAATTCAAACCATACCTGATCCAAGGGGAGAAGACTGGAAGAAGATCATGGATGGCTTTCCATGGAGAAGCACCTATAGTCATTGCTAGAATTCCAGGATCCCAGCCATTGTCCTCCAGCCCATGAATGCTAGCCACTATCTTTGTCCACAATTTTTCCTTTTCCAATGGAAAACTCCATAGCCACTTCCCCAATAAAGCCATTTTTCTTTTCTTGATATTCTCAATCCCAAAACCACCTAGCTTCTTGCATCTAGTTACCACCTCCCAACCTACCCTATGGTCCCTCTTCTCCTCTCCTGGTACTTTATCTCATTTTATCACCTATTAGAGCTACTCCTAAGCTCTTTCATATGACTTCCTCTCTAACCCTATCCTTTCTGGTTTTTCCACTAATCCATCTCAGTATATGCATTTCTATCATATTCATTTTTTGGATATGTTGTAAAGAAGGCTATAATTTAGTGCTAATAAAAATTTAAGGGAGTAATGAAAATGGAAAAATAACACATGTTAGAGCCATTTTCTATTTAATGTAAGAGAAATAGAGTAATTGTAGAAAAAGGTAGAAACCACTTTTATCCCTCTCTTTCTTTTTCTCTTATCAAAGCCCTTGGATCTTCTATGTTTCAAAGGCAAAATCTCAAAACAAAGAATAAAGAATATATTTAGGATGTGTCATCACATATACTTTTTTCTTCTTTTTTTTTGATCGATACATATACTTTTTCTTTTCAAAAAATAAGGTATTGCATTAAATTAATCTATTAAAAAAAAACACCAGATTGCTGTTTACAAAAAGAGTACCAATCAAGGTTCAAAGTATCAGAAACGCAAGATGTATTGATAAGGCAATTTTAAGAGACATATTAGGATACGCTTTAGCCACACATGGATATGAGCGAAAAATCAAGATATGCATGGATATGCTAGGAAACTCAAATGAATCTTAAAAAAATATATTAATAACAATATATATGTCTTATATAACTACAAATGAGTTATTTAAACATAAAAAAAAATCATACTTTAATAGTTTATATAAATTGTGTGATACTGGGAAACAATTAATAACCATTAAAGAATGATGGAAGAACTAAAATTTATATGTAATTGAATATTCAACAACAAAACTAGAACTATCAACTATGGGTGAGCTGCTATCCCACATACTCCAGTTGTGCAACTCATGGGTTCTGAATTCAAAGGATTTCAAAGGCATTTCATTTAATGACCTCCAAAGAAACACTGCAGAGATCATTTACTCCTCTCCTTCCTCGCTAAAAGCAATAGGAAACCTTCATTCAAGCTTAGAAGAGGAGGTGACCTTGAATTTCGATGGAAGTGCCCTTGGGAATCCTGGCCTAGCAGGGATTGGAGGTTTCTTTAAGGGAAAGAATGGAAATCTACTGCGGACTTATAGTGGTCCAACAGGGTTGGCAGATTCTACACAGGCTGAAGTTTTAGCAGTGCTAACAGGGCTCCGGATCGCAAGAGATCTTGGATCTCTTCCCTAATTACCAAAGGGGACTCAATCAACACCATCAGATAGCTAGGGAAGAAGAGTGGAGGACCATGGAGATTAGCTCATTATTTGGATGAGGCTAGAGATATCCTGGAATCCTTAAATGCATTCTTGCTTTGGATTCCCAGAGAGTTAAATTCTGTAGCAGATAGCTTGGCTAAAGCTGGAACTCATAGGGACTTTTTACACAGTGAGAGAGTCATGCCCTTGTAATCTGTGTGTGTGTCCTTTCTAGTGTCTCCTTTGTACATTTTCTCATGTACACTTCTCTATTAATGAAATCTATTACCTTTTAGCTCTATATATATATATATATATATATCTGTGTGTGTGTCTTAATTTTCATAAAATCAGAATAACGTGTTAATATTTATTAGAATATAAATTTTAATAATTAATTTTAGCATTTATTGCCAAAAATCCCCTAAGAATAGAAAATTTACTTAAGAAGCAAAATGCATACATCTATGACAAGCAACTATAGTATGGCTGGCTTAACAGTGGACTTGTGGTCATCACACACTAATAACCAGGATTCAAATTCTCCTACTTGCTACTTTTTATAGTTAGTTTAAGGCTTTAAGGCATATTTACTGGCATGCTTTAAATTCAAATTTGATTTTGATTTTTTTTATAGGTAACAGATATCATTATAAACAAAAATGTACAGTGAGGAACAGATATGGTATGAATACCCCTAAAAAAGGTTAATACAACTGAACCCAAAATAATTGCTTCCTAACAACCCCTTACCTTACCTGTCATTCCCCTTAAAAAACACTTGATTATCTTCACCACTTCTCAATAGGTACAGGCTGCTTTCTTTTCATTCTTTAGCCAGCTTACCACCACTTGAAAATCCCCTTCAACCAACAGCCTTCTCAAGTTTAGTTTTTCTGCTATCTGTGCCCCACACAGAACAGTGGATAATTCAGCTCTAGTGGAATCTCCTTGAGCAATAGAGCCCTAGAATAAAGCTAAAATAGTACCATCTTTGTCCCTAAAAACCTCTCCTATACCAGAAGGGCCTGAGTTACCGAGACAGCCATTAATATTGAGTTTTATAAAACTCTCAGAATGTGGTTCCCAAACCTGAACTGTTCTAGTTCTTGTAGATGAAAAAGCCACTTCCCTCCAATTCCATCTTATATCATCAAAGGAAGAGGGTAAGAACAAGTCCAACGATTTGACCCAATGAATCACTCTTAAGAGAATACATTCTAAGAATGCTTCCACAGATCTCTTCTCTTCTTTGAATAGTCTTGCATTTCTTTCTTCCTAGACTGTCCATAACACGGCAGCATGGTTGTCAAGGTGCCTAGGCAATGGAATTTGAAAACATAAAATCTATAGATCCCTATCCCTCCTAAGTTGGTTTATTAGTTTTGTATACCAACCAACAAACCTGTACATTAACTATCAGCAACAAAATCATTCAAGTATAAATTTCATGTAAAAACATAAACTGCCATCATATATTCAT